GATGAGGACGATTGCAATGAGGATGAAGGTAATTTTTGTTGTTTCATTGATAATTTGTTATTGTTACCATTCGCATTATTCGTCCCGCAAACAATCGGTAATGACGACGATGAGCTTTTCGGTGAATTTCGCACTGAAGCTGCAGAATAAATTCAATTCATCATTCATAATTTATTCACTCATTCATTAATTCTGGCAGTATGATGAAGACTGATCAACCGAAACGATGCCATTTGACCAGAAAATCATCCAGCGAGAGAACCCTCAAATCTGGTGGTGACCCCGTAATGAAGGCATTTTTCTGTGACTTAACATATCTCAAATGTATTCGACAGGCCGTATGTTTAGTTATGACAACTGGTAATTATTACTATTAGATTATTATGAGTAATATGAGTGACCTCAATACTGTTGTTGTCATTATTGATTTCATTACTTTTGTTGCTATTTGTTACAGACAAAACGTCTTGGTTGTTTGCTACAGCTGAAACTGGATCTAGAGAAGATTGGAAGATTTCAACATCGTTATGGGTAACTATTATTATGGTATTTGGTTTACTTAGAGTTCATAACTACTGAGTTGATTTTAAACTTTCATGTGCTTTAAACTTAAACTTTTGTGCTTTGAACTTAAACTTTAAACTTCGAATGTTTAAGGTTAACGTTCTGATCTCAAAAGAGGATTGCATAGCCTTTGAAAGAAGAACATATGGCTCTAATCCATAGTACTTCCTCATTTCTAGACAAGTAAACTCACATCCATTTCATTCATCTATACTCGATCAAAAAGGTTCCATATCGTAATTTTATACTCTCTTGTCCACCCTGTGCATAAATTACTATTATAATAGCTAATATTTCAACACGTTAGCTAATATTCATGCATCTATACTGACTAAAAGTTGAACAGTTAGTGCTCATTCTGCTTGTCTGTATACGTATCGTGAGCCATCAAGTGGCTGTGAGCTCCGCTCAATAATGCGCCGAGGGTACATGTGCTTAGCAGTCAAACCCTGTGCCTTAAAATCCCAAAGATGACGTTGTAATTGTGTAATAACGCTCAGCGGTTAAAATTTCAGCAGCATTCGATGCTGTATGGAAGATATGGTATCGATTAGGAAAGAAAATCAACAAATTGAACTGACAAAATTCATCAGAAATGCGTATTTTTTACCCATGTAGGAAAGTGATGTCGGTTTAGCAGAACGACTGCAGATGGCTGACTCAATAACTGCTTCAAGTGTTGAAGTAATCTTAGAGGATTCTGAATCTGTATCCTTTTGATTATTATTGGTATTATTAATACTATCACTGATCTTATCAGCTCCACTCGAATCCAAATGTGTTTCAATGTTTCGTTGTTGTGGCTTTGGCAGTTGATCAGAGACGTTTTTCAGTGTGCCAATCGAAGAACATTGTGCAGATGTTTCTTCCATCTTCAATGCAGTCGTATCCATACCATGAGATATTGTGTAGTTCACAAGAAATTCACGTAATTTTGATGGCAATCTTGCGAACGGTGAATTTTCTGAAACAAACATGCCAAACTGATCACTTGGGAACTTAAGCAAGAAACTTTGCAATGAACGAATTAATGAACCACTATGAATCATACTCGACAAGGACCATCCATAAGGCCAGAGAATGCGCAAAAAATAAAGGAAAAAGAAGAAAACAATTAAGATGTTGTGAATTGATCTGCAAACTGTTGTTTAGACGTTGATTAGAAAGATGGTAGATGTAAAATGTTGACATTAGAAAGATGTTGATTCGCAAATATATCTGCAAAGTGAACGTACGCACCGCTTGCCAACTGCACTGCGTGTTTGATCGCTGGCGCAGAAACGATCAGATTAGCACACGATTGAAAGCGCAAAGAAAATTCATGTGGATCAGCCAATGATAAATTCGAGATATGAAATATCTTTTTAAAAATGGCAAAAATACGAAGAACTTCAGCTAATTGGATATAATATTAATACGTGTGTGTCGCTGAATGTCTTGCAATTACATTAAAAATGAGCAGCAAGTTCGTGTTGAATGTTGTTTTAGATGAAGACTAATAGCGATCATCGCTATACAACATTGTATACAAGACAGAAAGGCTGACTATGTGAACGTTCGGATATTCATAAAGTCAGTGATAGACTAAAACTTTTGGCGACATATACGGCATTATAATTCTGTGATTATAACCTAACTGAGTATACTTTAGCTCTCTGATTACCAATAACAACACATTACTGTAAGAATATCAAGATCGCATGATAATATTCTCAAAGTAATGTATTAGTGATAACTTAACCGGATGTGTTTCAGGTCTCCGATCATCAATAATTCTACGAAGATTTTCAGTTCAATGGTGTGCTAAATTCTGCACAGTTACCATATAATTTTTGTGGTAATCCGATGCTTGCTTTCAGAGATGCAAGAAGAATTGCAAAAATATCTGATCACTATCGGAAAATAGAAAGTACCATATTCAATCAGTTGTATGCTGCAGTTTTCACATTAACCGAATAGTTTATTCTCATCACTGGATAGACCGCATTTTGCACTACCTGAAAAGTACACAATCCGTTGGCGAGTAATGTACCCTTCCCGAGAAATGGGTATTTTTCTGAAGGTGTATCATACACCTGCTGAATAAAATTAGTCTTTTATTGGAATATCATGATTATCCTGTTCGATCTACGTATATTCTTAGGTTTGCTGAGTAACATGATTAGTCGTTGGTGCCATCTAGTGTTTGCACGGGATCCCGAATCCTAGCTTCTGATAATCGATCCCGGTATTCATCATATTACTGGGATTTATAAGACGTCGTTTTGAATGACTTTGGTAGTATACTTATCATGAACGAAGCATAAATCATTGCCAGTTCATTCATATGTACTCATATTTTCCACCTACATGGTAATCAACAGATGATTCATGGCATGTCGCCACCTCGGATTTCGTTCTCACACAGTACTGAACAAGAATCACTATGACTTCAATTTTCGTTGTCAAGGTTGCCTTGTATTCCAATTCCGTGAATTTTATATTTATGCCTGAAATATTTCTTCGAGCTGTGCAAGTTCGTCCGGATATATTGAAAGATGTGACGGTAGCTGTGGTCATTCTCAATGCTGAAAATGTTTTCTTTTCAAGAGAGAATGAAACTGCGAAATGTAAACTGTGCGATCAAATTGAAAAGAATAACGGTTGTCCACGAAGACACTACTTGTACATTTGAAGATAAAGCATAGTGTAATATTCTGCAACGATGCAAGCACCCCGGAAGTCACAAATGGCCCGCATAAAACCAAATTCCTCAAACCTAATCCTGTTTCACAAACGATTTTGTCTTTATTACGACTTTGTTTCAATTATTTCATTGTATTTATTGAGTTTTGTGGAATGATTTATTGAATAGAATGTTTTCTGATTAATTATGAATATATTAGTACAACAAGAGTGTTGAACATATCACACTTCTACATTTCAAAGGTTGCTTTTCAATCCCGGGATCGTCCAGGGATTGAAAAATGATTCCGGGATCACATCCCGATTCCAGGATTGAGAAAATGATCAGGATTTTGCAAACTCTGGTACCATCGAATTGAGGAGTTTCTGTTCTAATAAAAAATAGATATTCTGCTGACAATTTGAGACTACACCACAGGCGGAAACAAGAAGATCAGAACTTCAGACGTGAACGCAACCCATGAAACGCGATCGAATGCCACTGAGATACGTTCACACCAGTATAGAAGTATAAATCGATAGATACAGTACCATCTCTGCACAGCAATCACAACAATAACAACAGGAAATCGATAATCAATTGAGTGCGAGGACAACTTCTGATAATGAACGAATCTGATCAGGTGTTACACGACAACAACCACCGACCAGTCGCACTCCCAACTTTATCCATTCCTTCAAATCCCTGCTAACAACGTCAGCGAAACTCATCTCAGAATCTGTCCAACTGAAACTACTAGCGATCGTAAACATTAAACAGCAACTGCAAAAGAATTAAGATAATTGCTGTAAGCTTACTCACTTGTTTGCTTAGAGATGCGTACAGAAAAAAAATTGATTGGAGATGATAATGATAACGATAAACCTTGCTGTCTGTACGTCATACTTTTCACCACTATTTGGATAAACCACAAACGGTTTACCATTCGAACAATCACGAGCCGACTGAAGCAAAGAAGAAATATGTATCGGTGCTGTACAGTTGATGCCTTAATTGAGAGTGATTCTTTAATAACGACCACGAATAGCGTGAGCGAATGAGAATAAGAATATAAATAAACGAAACACCAAAACATACCAACAGCAACAACATCCGGATGCAGGCTAACTTGTCGAACAACGTCACAAAAACGTTCGTTGTGATTCGTTCGTTCTCCGTCCTAACGTGACGATGAATAAAGCATAGTTACAAAGACAGCAGCAAATCAATTTTCAAATCAATTGAAACTTTATGCTACCATGACAGGTGGCGGTGGCTTGCAGCCATTCACGGCTGACTTAATGATGCACTATTATTCTTGTTATTATTACAACTCACACGACAACTGAACGAAATCCAACACTTCACATCTTCCGCTATGCTGTCGATGGCGGTCAGCACAGCGCGACCTTCGACCATTGACGGTATTGTCTCGAAAGCGAACATCTTTAGGCCACTCGTCAAAATCGCTTTCAGCTGACCAACATAATAGCTAACAAGTGTCTATAAATAGTGCCTATAGAGTGTCAACACTGGTTCATAATTATTATATATCTTAGGAATAAAAACAGAAGAAAATCTACCCAATTGAACCAAAATAAATAGAGAATGGGTTAAACTGACTAACCTCATAAGCAACCTCATCCACATAATGACCATTATATTCTGAACAGTCCGACAGTGTAGTCGCGAAAGGTCCAATCGAACCAACAATCTCAATGTGACGATTTTTACGGCCATCATTTGGTGCTGTTTCTGTTTCAAATTCTTTAACCGCTTCACGAACCAAATCTACTCCTTTCTACAAATCACTAAGTACCGAACAATAAGGATGATATTTTAAAAACATTCTAAACCTGTGACTAAACCAAATACGCACAACAGTTAGGGTATAATATCATCAATACAGTAGTAATTTAAACTGACAGTTAAGCGTTCAATTCAATGAAACCAACTAACACGGATCACTTCCTCAGCACTGCATTTCGATAAATGACGACTTTGCATTAGAGTTCCAATATCAGCATGATATGTGTTTGACAACAAAACATCACATCCAGATGCGATAAAACTGAACAAAAAGGTCTCGCTATTGCAATTTAAGTATTTAGATAGACCATAGACATGAAGAAATGCAACTGATCGAAACAACGAAATGAACAATTTGATCTTCTCGAAATTGCCAAAAATTCAAACCTTCCAAAAACAATCTTCCGGCAATCATAAATCAATTCGTTCGGTGTGCAGCGAGAATAGGTCTAGCCTTATGATATATGAAATTCGCAGCTTACGAGTCCAACATCTAGCTGAGATATCAGTGCGTAAAGCTGACTCTCGAAAAATATCGAACGTTGTTTTTTTAACTATTGATAATTAGTCGTTCAACTCGATCTATTTCTTCGATTGGATGCACGTTTACATTACTGTGTTTATTTGAATTTATTACATGAGTGGGAGTGTACTGAAGTGATGGCACACAAAATAAATCAACGAACTTGGGCAACTATTTTCGTTTAATCAAAATAACGTTTGATAAGAGTGAAAAACTGCGCACTTTTTATGTGCACAATAGATTAATCTAAGGAAAAAGCAAATGTGAGATGTGAAAAAAAGCAAATGTGAAAAATGCAAATAAGTTGTATGATATGGTTTGAAAGGTTTGAACAGCAGTTCTGAGAATGAACAAACAGAGAGGATTCACAAAACTTTGATGCAAAATGATTATGATCAATATTTCTTGAAAAATTTCTGCCGAGAACAAATCAGATACAAAAATCCAATAAGATTAGACATAGTGAAAAATAACTGCCAAATTAAAAACACCACCGCATACATCACATAATAATGATAGTATTGAAGATCTGAACCTCTTGTGAACGTTAATCACCGACTGTGGATCATCCAATATAGCTGCTGCACTCCACAATGGATCCTTCTAGAAGACAGAATACAAAAAAAGATTGACGGATTACCATTCTGTGATAAAATCTATCGTAGTCATATCGCTTGTGATAAAAATCAAACATATCTGGACATGATGTCGAATGTTGGCTGAGGCTTGAATCCTGCGAATCATCGTAAGCTCAAGTCAAAATTCAAGTACAGTTCTACACGATTCATCAGTTCTACTACAGCAGTGCTCACATAGCATCGTCTTTGAGGCACCCACTATTTTAAAGGCTATCTTAACTCTTTTGGCTGCCTATCGTACGATACGATATATCTGTTGATTTGTGAACAATATAAAGCACATTAGAAAATTACCTAACGGTTATGTGTTACAACAAAAATGACTTGAGAACATAAAGTTCTGCGTGTAACAAAAAAGAATGAGTTGAATAGGAAACAGATATATCATAACCATTCAACATCATATCACTGAATCAGGATTGAAATACTATCACAGAAAAACGCGTTGCATTCACTCAACAAATAAGAACATCCAAAACAATCAGTTCTAGATGTACCTCGCTTTTTGCCTTGCAAATACGATCCAATTCGCTACCAGTTCCACCATCTAAAACGCGAATTTTTTTCCATAGTTCAGTTGCAGTAGGTGCTTGAACTGATCTGGCTGCACACATCAAATCAAATCGAATCTTCCTACAATACTCAGCGATAATTTTTTTTGTGTTCCTTATTTGATAGTGGTGCTCAAGTCAACCTCTAACGAGATTTTCAACGACGTTGAAATAAGGGCGCGTAAACGATAAATAATACAAGAACGTAAATAAGCAATTGACTTGATCAGTTACGAATGATGATAAAAACCAATACTGAACACTGGGTTTGAGGGAAGAGTAAATGTTTTGTATAAGTTTGCAGCTCGAACTTTCTCGAGTTTTACATCTGCATTGCACATCCCCCATCAAATAAACTCCTCACTTTCAATCTTTCAACAACTCACTACATATATGATTGCTTGCATGAATCAAGTTAATTTTCTACTCATGATCTTATTGAAACAACTAAAACACTTTATAGCATAAGACGCATTCATTTGAAGTGTTCCAGCTCATTCTACGATTTCGTAGAATTTAATGAGTGCTATCGCTAACATCTTCCATTATCATCGACATCAGTTGCAATCAGTCGGCAGTTACCGAAGACAATCATCAAATCAAATCAATAACCGAATCAATTACTTCTTTTTCTCGTATTCAATTGAACTCCGAATAATTTTTCGCAGGATAACAATCGTATATTATAATATTATGCGTAAACTCTTTACGCAACAACAAAAAATATAATAATTACTCGCCACTGAAAACAAACCAATTATCATTTATGTTACTGCCCTAAGTTGTGCCGTGCACGATGGCGGTTATCACTTTCATGTGCTGTTTCACGTATCATTTCTCACCAGCATACTATCATGAGTACACTTCTATTAGTTAATCAGTCATGCAAATATTATACACACACTCACTATAACTTAGCGACAACGATATCTCAAGAAGATATTGCTATGCACAATTGTTGCTATTATAGCCACCGTAATGATGAGACTAAGACAAAGGATGGATATTGCATGAGTTTGTGGACATGAGCGTGAGTATGTGATCCGATCAATCTCTCGCATAATTAGAGGTGAAACGATACCGCTGACCACAACATCAAAATAAACGCTATAATAATACTTTTCTATCTAGCTGTCCTTCGACAAGGTTGTGTAAGATCAACAATATGAAATGTTTTGTAGTATGCCGATAAAAAACGAGTATCTACATACAAATATGATGGCAGGAACAATATCAAACTGAGTGGAGTATTCCTTATCTTCTCATTACTTTTTAATGATTGCTCACCTTCAAACATATCACTTTTTCTATAAACTATTCGAAAACATATCAACTCACATACAAATTTCAATTACAACTGTTAATGAAACAGATATGATTTCGAAATGCATACTTATTATCGTTGTTATTCCTTCGTATCTATGCATCAATAATAGCATTCGACCGATACTCGGTCGGAAAAATCCGACAATTTCAGTGGGAATTCCGACATCCAGATTCTGACCGAACAATTTGGAAGTTCGATTGGAATTTCGACTGTCGAAAATTCAAAATGCCAATTCGGTCGGATTCCAATCGAACACTTCCGACAGTCGGTCAGAATGCCGACTATCGGAATGAGGAAATTTCATGTCGGTCGGGATACGACCGACATGAAATTTCGCTCGGATGTCATCACCACTAAGTGTATATGCTTAAATAATATCTTTAAAATTGTAAATTCTCATGTAATTCATTGCTAACTGCAAACAACATTAGCGGTAGCAGCAAGCAATGATTCGTACATGATTTGGAGTAGATGCTTATCATCTTATTATCATATCCCTTGCGTAGCCGTCACCTCATAGCCGTGCCGTTATAATCAACCCTCTGATTTAGTCTATATGGCCTAATCATACCAGAACAAATCCCATATGTGTTGCACACCTTCCTGCAACCAAACGACGCCATTAAATAGTTCGAATCACTTTTGAATGACAGGGGCATAAACCAATGTCACTATTGCTAACATTCAATCGCTCATACCTACCCTTAGGGAAATAAATCTTTGACACTTCACAAAAATGCATTCTCTAAAGGCGTATATACCACATCTGCCACCAGTTATTAGTGCGTATTATTATTATTGTTATTATTATTATTCTTTCATTATTATCAGTATCACTGTTCTTTACTATTTTAAATATTGCTATCATTATTATTATCATGAATTTGCAAATCACAAATTCAAATCTTTACGGATATATCTGCATTCATAGCAACTACTGATAATCAATCACACTCCCATTCCCACACACATATACTTGCAAAATGTTCATTATCATCAAATTTGTTTTCTTTTGAAAAGCAACAGAAGTTGTTCATAAATGATGGCAATAACAACAACCTTTAACACCATTCTATAATTCTTAATACATAAAAAATGCTGATAATAATCACACACCCACCCCTCCGCAATAATAAATCAATCGTAAACACCATATAAATAATAGATTTTACGATTGAATAAATCAATCAGCCAGCAAAAAGATAAATGAAACAATCATAAATTTTATCAAGATGATCACTACAACTAAATAGTAACACCTCATCATATCGCTAAACGCATCCAGTTGATAATAATTATGATGCATATCAATACATTGTACACATATCCCTTCATTTTCATAAAACACACGCCATTATATAACTAAAGCCATAAGAAACATCAATAATGTGATAAATCCGATCAGTTCTATATCTTCACTTTGTGATGTGTAAAAAGTTGAACTATGTGAGAAAGTGATTTCAGCAATCATACTATGATTTATTAGCAAAATTATTCCAATCATAAAACATAGTGCAACAAATTTTATAGCCCTCTTAGATTCACGTTCAATGAACCTATCAAATTCGAACATCTATCTATCTTCAGCAGTACTTGAAATCTCTGAACAACTAGCTAACCCACCAATTCCATTAACACATAAGAGTACATAAACGAGCAAACTGCTTAAGGACGATAATGAATTTGTCTCAATGAATGTGGCAGGATAAAGAATTTTTAAAAACTGAATAACGCTTCTCAAAACCACAAAAAAACAACTGAATCAAACTAAATGGCTGTGGATGCTTTGCCAAACTGTACATAACAATATTTCTAACAAGCCAACATTTCCGACAAGCACGATTAGTTGCCCATTGCGTCGCCTCAAAATTTGAAACATGAAATGTACAGACCACACACACATAGATGCACACATATTAATGAATGCTGCCTATACGTGCGATATAGAATTTAATCTCGAGTTATTCTTCACTTCAATATCTAACTAAAATTCATGAACCATCCAATAAATTCAACACTGCTTGCATAAAGTCGGACTGTCTTTAGGAAGCTAATGTTGTTTAGTGTTTACGATAATGTGCATTCATAATACTCTCCCTCAATCAAATTTCAACACTACTGATTAAAAATTTTTTGCTCTCGTTTTAATTGTCTATTTGGTAGATTTGTTGTGTTGCCTCATTTATTAAAGCATCACTAGTTTAATTATTCCTATTAATTTGAATGTGACGTACGATCCATGCTTATTCACATTTTCTGTTCATTGCCTTTCAAGCATTTACAACCACTATCGTTGCATCTATACATGGCATCTTGCAAATGACCAGCATTAAAAATGATTCATCACCTTCATCATTATCACTATCATTGTAGTTGTCATCATCAAATTTATTTCATTTGCCTCATCCCACTCTTTTTTTCCACTTACATGTCCATATCATTAGGCATACTTATCCATCTTTTTTTGCTTAGTTACTTACTCATTTATTCACCCACCCACTTATCTGTTTGAATATCCTTTCAAAATTATGCACTCATTCTTTTATGCACTCACAAAAGGGCATTCCCTCTTGTGCTTACCAACGTGCTATGTGATAACATTAAGTTTTTTATTAAGTTTCATACCTTCCACTGTTCACAACAAGTTCGAGAGGAATAAGAATTCACGCTGTCAAAACATCAATCGAAGACAACCTCTCATCCTACAAAATGCTTGTTTGTAGTGGTTAAACCATAAAATATATGATATGTGAGGCATGTAATCCAAAAACATATGTACTCTTTTTTGATGATACGATGCAGCAGTATCTTATAAATGCAACTAGTAATAATTTATTATTGGTAATAAAAAATATCTATTCGGATTGCTCAACTACTTTATAATGGCCATAAAAAGCTGAAACTACAATAACAACAACATCAATACAACCTAACAGTGGACATAATTGCTCCTCCAATATGCTTTAACGTCTTATACTGATATGACATTAACGCGTTAAGTGCTTGTATAAGTTTGTTTGTTTTTTTTTAAATGCATTTCCCTGATTCATTCGATAATGATGAACTGACAACAACCATATCGATTCATTCATAATACTTTATGATGTATGCAATTGAACGATCTCTGAAATGTAATAATTATAAATATTTGCGTGTTAATATATAATACGTTTCCCTCACATTCATTTTGTTCACAATATTCCTCCATAATCAATTGATTTTTATTCACTTGGTTCATTTAGATTTAATTTTCATTTAGATCGTTTCCAAAACGATCACAATGACACATTTTTTGTTGTATGACAAACATGTTGTGTGCGGGTATGCGGGCATTCGTTTATACATGAATGTGTATGCAGATAGTAAATAAGAAATTTAGATGCTTATCTCCGTTCTTGTTTACATCCTACCGACCATCCATCCATACGTGTACTATATTCATTCGGTCATCATACTCTGATTTGATTTCGTTTGACTCTGACTCTGACTGCGACAGCGACAGAACACTATTAATGACACGGAGTCAAACTCAACAAATTTTATGCCACTAAACTTAACTCGCTAAATTTATTATGGCACATACACACAAAGCGAACGTATAAACTGATACATTACAGATCCACCATCTACCTGTTTACACGAACATCATTTACAACGCAAGTATTTATTGACTTTGAATTCCTTCTGACATCCACTTATGCACAGATGTCTCAAAGAACTCAGAGTCAGTAAACAT